TTTCAACTATAATCTAAAATATTCATATTCATAGACATTTTAAACAAATTATATTTATTTGCATACAAAAAAATCAATGAAATTTCATTTATATAAATTTGAATACCACCCAAATAAGAAGGTTCAACTAAATATATATTTGCATACAACAGGTAGAATAAAAAAATTGAGTCAATTTCTTTATGCACTTCGAAATTAAAACCCTTTTTCAAATTAGGGTTCACATCCTTCATATTAATTGTTATTCTTTATCTACGATAAAAGCCTTTGCTTGTATTTTCTGTGTAATACGATTCCCTAGATCCTTGAAGAAGGCTAGGGCATGAGTGACAAAGGGAAGTAGAGTTGTAGCAAGTATTTGAATGCATAAATTGTTGGAGGGTAAAACAGAAGATATTTAGCAGATTTATTTTGTTCTGCGTCGGCATTAGCATCCTGGTTTAGTTAGGAGTGTGTGATTGGATCTACAGAGAAAAAATCCTAGGTTAAGAACTTACTACTCTTCCATAAGAACTTTGGTGAACCATCAAGGACGTTTACCATTTGCATTGCAAAGTCTAGTCGGCTCAAGGGTTAGAAAAATTTCAGCAGATTTTAAGGCACGAGAGTCATTACATTTTGTATGTCTTAGATATCTGCCTCTACATCGATGCAGGGAGTGATAACCTTTTGAGTCAACAGGAGTCTGACAGAGTGAAAATAAATATGTATAACCATGTCGCAATTAAGTCTAAGCCCGATGCCATGACGCAGCTCCTCGTTTGTAAGTAATATATAAAGACTATTTGAAGAGATGGCTTCAGGAAATTCATAACCATTTCTAGATGAAGTTGAAAATAGATAGGAATGTTCCACATGTTGACTTCTCGATTTAAGAAATGCGAGAAAGATGCTAACCAAGGGTAAATCTTAATCTCCCTGCAATGAGGTTGAAGGAGGATTGACTAGGGAAGGTAACTTCCAAAGATTTGACCTAAAAGAATAGAGGATCTGAGTGTGCCACTAATTTGTTGATGATTAGGCTACATGATAAACGCGAAGATATGAAGGGATTGAGGGAGAGTAGTGGTGATCTTATAATCCATTCCATCAGCTTTGGTTGATAGGATCGTCTGTAGCCAAGATAATTCTCCAAACTTAAGATTGATCTTTCATTCTGTCAAGATTTTTAGCTCTGGTTCGTAGGTAGCAAGGATGGCAGTATATTGACAAATAAGTGTGTATAGTAGTATGAAAAATATCTTCAAAATTTCAAGCTAATTCTCTAACAGGAAATGGGACTAGTGTGTCAGTAGATGCAGTAAGCTCTCATGCATTTGTTTAAGCTTTGAAGTATCTGGAAAAAATTTAGTGAAGGAATCTTTATTGCCTAAGGGTGGTCTAGATAAATGGACTCTTTCTGAAATCCTTTAGACATTATTTAGAAAACAGCATTCACTCTTTGAAGAATTTATTTTTAGGCCTATGTTTTCATGAATTTATGCTTATTGCCGGGTTGACTTAGTCGGGAGAGCGGGCTGCTATTCAATCATCAATATACCAAGACTTTAAATTAAGTTTGCATGGTGATTGAAGTCTTCTATCATTTTATCTATTCCAAAACAAGAGTGGATTGATTCAAGTTGGTCACTTCCTCTCCAAATAGCTGGTGTATTGGTTTGAAGTAGCCGTCCTGAAGTAACTGGGAAAATTCAAGATAAGAATGAGCAGATTTCAGGAATTCACTGCGTTGTGAGGCATTGAGTGTGTAGATAATCGATCTTGACAAGGACATCATCAGAAGGATTGGTATCATGCATTCGAGTCATGTGAGGGGTTGCTTTGCATTCACCTTTAACATTAATTTTTACTTGACTCGTGCTTATATTCGTGATATTGAAAATTGCATTCGACTAATTATTAAGGCTAGTGATGGACACCAGGCGATGCTAATGCTATTGATCTTTCGTCTTATAGTATGAAATCTTTTCACCGCAAAACTAAAGTAAAATATTTCAAAAAATTCACATCGATTTGATTGAGAAGAATAGCTGAAAGCATTATATTGAAACTGTAGGAAATTAGGGCAAATGTAGATGAAGAAATTGATAAATTATATGTCAATGTTGACTCTTAAGCGCTATATGAATATAATATTTGTCTACCTCGACTCGCAGTAAGGCAAACCAGTCGTTCCAATATAGGATCAGTAGAAGAATACTATAAAATAAATCTCATTATCTCTCTCTCGGACACTATTATAAGTCTAATGGCAACTCTACCGATTAGTACTATGACTACTTCATTGCAAAAAAATGTATGTTAAAAAAAGCGATATATATATCAGAAAGTTTCAAAAACTAATCTGTTTCAAAAAAAGAAAATTGTTTAAGCATTCAGATATTAGGTAAATGTTAAAATTGAAATTAAAGCCAATACCATATATTCCTGCAGTCAGATTATCACTACAACTACATTGGGTCATTTAGGTAAATGTTAAAATTGAAATTAAAGCCAATACCATATATTCCTGCAGTCAGATTATCACTACAACTACACTGGGTCATTCCATGTCAAATCAATCACTTTACAACCCGACCCTCAGATTTTGTTAAAATTTGGTATTTAAGTTATTGTAATTGACTAATCCAAAATATTAGATTTATAACTCTATCAGAACCGGAGATAGAGGGCTTCAAAGTGGCTCAGCTTGGTCATTTTCGAAAAAAAAGATTTTTTAAAATTAGGATAACTTTTATATTAGATGCACTATGTATATCTATTATGGCTCATTTTAGAGCCCTAAGTAAAATCTTGAACGTATGTTAAATAAAATTAATTTTTAGTTTATATTTTTTTAAAATTGCGGTTAAAAATTTGTAATTAATTTTTCAAAATGTTAGTTAAAATATCAATTTAAGTCAATCTAAGAAATTTTTTTATTCCATATTTGTAATTTTTAAAATTAATTAATTTATTAATATATTTTGTACAAATCCATTGAATCTTCCAAATCACTATTCCAAAAAAGATTTAAGAAAAGTGACGATTTGGATAACAATGTATCATAAAATTAACAAAGGAGAATATATTTGTCCTAAGTGTCGCAAATTTTTATATAAAAGGAAGAATAATATTGCAATTTTAGAGGATAGCAACATCCCTACAACTTCAAATAATTTTTTAAACCTCCACCGATATAGAAAATGATTATCCAATTAATAACGACAATGCGCAACTCCCTACACTTTTTTAAGAATCCTTAAGTTCTACTTTAAATTAAATGGGCCATTCACCAATAAAAAAAGAGACTAAGAGAAAAAGGATATCTCAAGAAAAAGCTCAGCAGACTTTCAAAAGCTTTTGGCAAAATTCTTCAACTAAAGATGAATACAAATGGTAACGACGATTTGATAATTTATATGAAAAATAATTATCCATTATTGTCTAAAACACAAAAATATAAATTATTAACGACATTACCTCCAAATTGGAGCATTCACAAAATTAAAAAACAATTTAACGTTTTGTTTTATATGATCCGTAATTCAAAATTCATTCTTGGTCAAAAGAGGATTCTTTCAACTTCTAATCCCAAGGCAGGTAAAACCATAGATCAGAGCAGAGTTGACGTTGTAAAAAAATATATTTAAAAGATGAATATAGTAGATTACTGCTTGTAAAAAAGATTACCTTTCTATAATTGAAAATGATGAAAGGTTAATGTTCAAAAATGGTTAATTCTAAATATATACATTTTAAAGCTATCTACTCTTTTCCGGATTTATTCGCCTCATTGCAACCTAAAAATTGCATAATACTAGGTTCAAGTGGCACTCACTCGGTTTGTGCCTTCCTAATCCATCAGAATGTTAAGTTTCTAAAAATAGATAGCAATCTAGCAACTTTAACAAAAAATAGGGATTTTGAGATAAAGACTTACAAAGACATAATTCCAGCAATCCTGCTATTTGACGAATTTTATGAATGTCCTGGGGACCAAGCATTGAGGGCTAAATCAGAAAATTTATTAATTGCACTTGATATATACAGGATAACGTTCAAGCAATGGATATCTGTAGATAAAACAGTCTAGATACCCTAACGCAAACAGCTGACGAATTTCTTAATTACTTATTTGAAAAAATATTTATTTTGATTCGCCATGCTTTTATTACTGAACAGCAAAATAGATTCCATCAGAATCTTAAAAATAATTTAGAACATAATCATTATTTGGTTATCTGTGATTTTTCTGAAAATTACTCTATACTTCAAGATAAAGTCCAAGGTTATCACTGGGCCACTTCCCACCATATTACCCTACATTTATTTGGTATATATTATAAAGGAAATAATGTATTAAATCATATAAGTTATGTGACCATATCCGCAGGAAGAACTTATACTTTAATTAATGATGAATTTAAAATGGCAAACTATTTATATACGTCTAAGCAAGTCAAATAATGAGATGTTCGTATTCAATCAAATAATTTAATATTCAGAGAAACTGAATTATTTGGATATATTTTATGTTTTACTAAGTATAGTTATTTAATTATAACTACCAAAAAATATTCGTAAAATCCAAATGAGTTAACCTTTTCCATTTTACAATTGATTGAAAGAAATATAAGATCAAATTTGGTCATATTATGATCATTTTATTTTAATTTATAAATATTTGGATTTGGCATTGGAAATAGTATTGTTAAACAGCTAGATTTAGACGATTTTAAATTAAAATTTTTGCCATAATATTATGCGAGCCTCGAGATTTCGTTAAAAGATATCCAAACCTTTCTGCCATCTATGAGAAAATATCCAATCTAGCATAATATTTTTTGGCTAAAATATTGGGTTAGCCGTTTTAAAAAATAGAGCAGTTTAACCTAGTTGGAAAGGAGATAAATTTTAATTTAATCAATATCGAAAAAAAATGGTACCAGAAAAATCAAAATGTTTGATTATTGACAGTGGTCTGCATAACGAATCATTTTCATTTTTTATATTTAGGAATAAATATAAATTTTTTTCAATAGACATAGCCCAGTAATATACATTTATTTCACAATTATTCTTTATTTACAATCTTATATTCATAAATTATTCTAATTCACCACAGTCAGTTATAACAACCTTTTCCTTCGGTTTGCCCGTTTTGGTCCCAACAATCTTAAAAAAAGAAATTTTTAGAAGTTTATTCAAAACATAATTATTAAAAATTTGAAATGTAAATTGATGGGGAGAATGGCCATATATGGTCATTCGAAATTAACGAGTTTTCTTATTATCAAAAATATATATAATAACTTGATTATTAATATTATAAGGTTCCAGATATAGGATATTCAAGATTGTAGCCTTTTAACAAATTCTCTCAAGGATTAAATAGTTTCGAAAAAAAATAATTGCATATTGACAGACAATGAATGTTTTTTTGTAAATAAATAATTCATTATGTATATAAAAACCTCCATTTGTCTCAAAACCTCCATACCTTGTTCTATATAACCAAAGACCACGTGTTTCCCATCAAGCCTAAATATCGAATGAATAAAAAAAATTTAATAAAAAGGGATTTATCATTCATCATCTATATCAAGATATGATTATACTATATAGTTACTTAAATCTAATATTATGTAATGTTTGTTGTTCAAATCTTATATCATTTTTAGCTTTCGTTTTGTGCCCAATAATTTCTGTATACCTTATATTTCTATAAATAGTTACCTATTTTCCTTTTTTGTAAGTAAAATATATTTGATACAAGATTATCTATTAAACTGTACTTTAGATACGTCTCCAGGTTAATTACTATAAAAATAAAAGTTGGGTTTATAAAATAATAGCTATAAAAAAATTTTTTAATAAAAAAGTTATATTTGTGTTTGTATTTTCTGCACGTCACTTTTGTTTGAAAAATATTTATCACTGAAAGAAGAAGAGAACAATTATCGATTATTGAATTTTGCGTTATTTTACTTTACTATTTAAAATTACCACATAGAGCGTTTTATTAAAAAAAACACCAACCTAAACACTTCTGCTCAATTTGTAAGCACAATTAATCTTGTAAAGACTAAAATATCTAATGGTTGTATGCATCGTTCTTCCATTGATTGAATCGGGATCGCAATATCAGGCAAAATGTTATAGTTATTTAATATTTTGTCGTAATTATCTTAATAAGAATGAACTCATCCTCCCATTCGTAATCAAATATTTTATCATTTTCATATAAGTTTACTAGAAAAATAAATATCGCTTTTTTAAGAAGTTAAAATATAACAAATATTGTAATTTTTTACTTACTTTGCTATTTTTACTTTCTTTGCTAGATTATATGCTTCATCTTTAACTTTGTCGCCCTATTTTCTAAAATTTTCATCTCAAGAAAGTCGTATAAATTTTTCTCTACTTGAAATCGCAATGCTTGCACAATATTTATTCTTAGTGGTGTCACTAGCCTTTACAATCTCACGGGGTTAGAAAATTATTTTTTTTTCTATTTTTGAAAATGGTCCTTTTTAGGTTATGACCTAAATATATTTTAGAAACCTAAAAATTTATAAATTTTAGTATGTTAAAAATCTTGAACTAGAGTCGATACTTGAGTCGCCTCTCAAATCGAAAATATGAGTCATTAACTCAATTATTTAGCCACACTGGCACAACCATTTGATCATCTCGCTCACGGCAATCCCTTGACTCTATTCCCTTTTATAACGTTCCATCTCTCCTCTTTTTCAATTTATCCTTTTCATTTTTTCCTCCTTTTTTATATTTACATTTTATCCTTTTTTTCCTTTTTATTCTCTACCATTCTTTTCTTTAAATTATTTTTATCTTATATCAAAAATTGATTGCATATTAATTTTTTCCAAATGTCACAATATGTCTAAATATCAATCTGCCATGTTCATCCGAAAAATAAAAATATTAAAAGGATCGCATAATAACATTATTTATTTATATATATTATATATAAATTCAATCCTATTTTGTTCCATTCAACCACCAATTTCAACACTAGATGACCACCTCGTAGACCCCACTAAAACTCATATCACTAGATAAAAATTAAATCCACCACCTTTTTACAATACTGCCACATCCAAACAATGATACAACACCACACCGGTCTAAAAAACCTTAATCCTTAAAACCAAAATTAACAAAACATATCAACATCACACAAATACCTGTATAATTTAACTAATAATACCAAATCTATTTTTGACTATAAGCAAAATATATTTTAAAAAACCTATTGAGTTTTATTTATGTTTGTCTGACTGCTAAGAAGTTATGTTAATTTTTATTGATTAATTTGTAAATGTGGTAAAAGAGGGTTAATAATTTGGCATGGGGATGGGTTGGATTTATTTTGGATATTTTGAACCAGCTTATTTATACTGTCATCCCCCTCTAATTATTACAAAAAAAATTATAAGGGATTTGTGTGATGTTAAAATGTTTTATTAATTTTATGGTTTTAAGGGTTTTTAAGAAGGAGGTAATGTTGTATCATTGTATCGATTTGGTTTGGTGTTGTAAAAACGTGGTGGATGTAATTTTTATGTGGTGGTATGGGGATTTTTATTGCCGTAGGTCTAGTTGTTTATTGTGGTGTTGAATGGAGGAAAATAAGAATGAAATGAATGCTTATACAGGGTGGTCCGATTAAATTATACGATAAAAACTCATTCTTAAATTCTGCATAATTATAAATTTTTGGTTTAGAAAATATGCAATAAAGTTTAGTTAATATAAAAAATAAACATTATTACGAAAAATCATATCAAAGTATTCTCAAATGGCCTCCTTATGCGAGAAGACGATTTCTCTATTTTCTTATGGTACTGTTTATGATTGCTTGATAAAAATTTCCTCATTCTCCCAAAAGTCTTGCCTCATTAATTGTGATATGGTACACACGTTCCTGCAGAATAGCCCAAACCAAATGTATAATCCAATGGGTTGAAGTCATGGCTGTTTGGAGGCCTTAACGATAGAAGAATGATGTCTGTGACGTTTTAGTAAATGTATGGTTTCAAGGGCAAGGTGAGTAGGTGCATTGTCCTGCTAAAATATGAAGTACTCGCCAGGCAATTCTTTTCTTCTGGACAATAAGTGTTGTTTTTAAAAGCTAACACTGTAATAAGATTCGTTTATCTTAATACCTGGATAGATAAAAAGTTGAATGCTGACAAAATTTGAAACACCAATCGAAATCATGACAGATTTTTAAAAGTTTGAATAAAACCTGAGTAGTCGATTAGCACTGACTTCTCTATTTCTTGTAACAAATGCAAATATAGCTAAACCGAATAAATGAATCAAGCCTGGATTGAATTTACGGAAAAGTTTTTTAATTTATACCTTTTTCTTCTTGAAACATTTTAGCCGCATATTCTTATTGGTGATATACCAATCTCTATGAATATTTGAGAAATCGTCTTATGAATACCTGGTTAGTCTACTCATAAGTTTAATAATTGTCCGAATTAAAGCAGTTCGTGGTTTCCTACTACCATACCTTTTTTATACTGATCCCGTTGTATCAATTTTGCTAATGAGTCGATTGAGTCCTGAAAGAGTCCAATTCCTATTTGGGAATTCCTGAAATAATCGTTTGGCACCATAATGTCGTTCTTGTGGTAAAATTTTAGTATAACTTAATTCATCTTTAGTAAAAACCATATTTTTCTTATCGTTTGGTTCGAAAAAATCGATTCTTTGATTTTCAAATAAAGTTGCATATTTTTAAGTCTATTAAGAAATATTTATAAAACTTTTCAGAATTGTTAAGAATGAATATCATTCTGTAAATTTTCGTAAAATTTTTTTATAAACTGACGGAGTTATGGCGAAATAGGGTGCCACTTCAATCGAATCACCAAAAATATATATATGTGATCGAATGCGAATTTGAATGTTATTATGCGATAGTTTTTTATATTTTGTTTTTGGAATGAACATGGCAGATTGATATTTAGATATATTATGAATTTTGGAAAAAAATTTAATACGTAATCATTTGGTATTTGGTAATGATAATAAAAAAAAAATTTTAAATGGTAATAAAAAGGAAGATAAATTTAAAAAGGGGGAGATGGATTGATGTAAAGGGAATAGGTTTAAGGGGTCAAGCGATTGCCATAAACGAGGAGTTGATCTAATGGTAGTGATAATCAAGAGGGGTAAAGTGGAATGGGAATGAAGAGTAATACCGACAATAGGATGAGGACTAGGACCAATTATAAGATAACATATACAAACAACAAAGACAATGAAATGCGGGAAATAGAGCATTATTCTTTTTTTTGTATCAATTTTGAAAAAAGTTTGGCATGTCTAGCCATATGTATTGTATAACAAAAAATTGATTTATATTTTAGTAAAAAAAAACATTTATTTTTTAGTTAAGAAATTTGATTTTTTATTGAAATTTTATTTTTTTATTTATATATATAATCTTTAAAAACAATTTGATCAAATTTTTTATTAACAATGAAACAAGGTAATCGGTAAGTAAAATAATATAATAAAAAATTTTAAAGCGATTTCTATTAAATGACTTATTTTGATTAATATGTGGTCTATTTTCTCTTAAAAATCCTGTTTTGTTAATCGTTATGAGGCACTTTTTGGATATTCTGATTAGTATATTTTAGAATATAAATTTTTTACATTAGTCTTCATTTAACATACAAACCTTTGAGTGGGTACACTTTAAATTACTCAAATCTAGATTATTATTTTAATTAAGATTAAAATTTGTTAATTAATATACTATACAATATGTTAGTTTCAGACCCTTATAAAATGTTGATTAGTACAAATACTGTTTAGTGAAAAAATTTTAAAATTACCTATTTTTAGCTAACATTATCCAAAACTACCTTCTTTTTTTAGCTAACATCCTAAAATTACCTTCTTTTTTAGTAGTATAAAAAAATTCAAAATTTTGTGGGCGGTATTCAAATTTTGGGCCCGAGCCCCAGTGCCCCCCTCCTATTGACGCTACTGATATAGGCAAATGGCCATTGTGGATAACTGATAATCTGCGAAAGTTTTTTGTAGAAAAAGGTCCTCAACGAATTGAGAATTTTCCACTAAACCAAAATAGCAGAAAATTTTATGCTTCATTTCATATGCGAAACTTTCCAATAATCGATTAGTCTATTATCGTACTAGTGTACTCGATAAAGATGCAATATATCATTTTTGTTTTTTACTTTTTTTAAATTCGACAATTCAAACGAATGTTATAATGACTGGAAATAGTTCTCATCGCAAAATATTATCAAATAAGCTAAGGTAAATTATGTTTTTTAAGGAGACACCAAATTATTTTTTGCCCTAGGCTGCCAAAAGTTTCCGCACGTCGCCTCTAAATAGGATAAGGAGAACGGAATTACAAGTGGCGAAATATTGACTGAGAAATGGAATTTCACCAATTAGTGTGATATTATCCTTTAGTGAACGGTGGAGTTTATAATTAAGTGAATTATATATTTTTTTGTATAAATAAACCATATAAATTATATTTACGGGGATGATAAATTTATATTGTATAAGATATTGCTTTTATGTAATTTAATTGAGGATGAGGAATGTGAGGCGATATGATTTGTAAAAGAAATGAACCGGAGCCAAGTGATTACAAAGGGAGAACCCGGTTCAATGTGATAACAATATGCAGGGCTTAAGAAGATTTTATATAATGTGGGATTCAATATGTTATATGTTTTTGTATTGGTCGAAAAGTTTGTTAGGCGTTCATGGCATAATCTCCCACCTTGGTGGAAGCTGATAGGCTTAATTAAAGGGGGAGGTGTTGATGCACGTTTTATATATATAAATAAATTTTATTGTCAATAAGATTGTCAATCATAGGAATATATTACAATAATTGAGGAACAATCATGTGTGTCATTATTAATACTTATTCCGTATGATGTTGTATTAGAATTATTACTCCTTTGGAATATTTAATAATTTTGTGAACATTCTGAACCTGTCCATACACAAGAAAAGACACAAGTCACAAAGTCGGTTTGAGATTAATAAATAAAAAATTTTAATCCGATTATTATTTTTTACTCGATTTATAATATCAATATTTATGAGATGAAATTAAAAATTAATTTGCAATAGCAAATAATTATCATATGAGATAAAAAGAAATATGTACCCCTCATTCACAGTTAGAGCGAATTTGCGGGGAAGTATATGAAATATCCTCTATTTTTGTATTGTTCGCCGTGAATTCGCGCTAACGAATGAGGGGTTATGGGCATAAAAGAAAAGTTATGAGTTTTTATTTATATATTTAATCTAATAAATATTTAACCCTATGTTTTAAACTATTTTTTTTACCAATCGGTTTTAGATGCACAGATGAAAAACTGAGAACCATTTGTATTAGGACCAGAGTTAGCCATCGATAATGTACCTATAATATTTAAATTTTAGTTAAGAAATAAATATTTAAAAAAAATAATTGTAAATAAAACTATTCGAGTTAAATTATTAAGTTATTAAGCTAATAATAAAGTTGAATTCGTAAATTACCTGCTCCAGTGTGTTTTAGGACAAAATTTTCATCTTTGAATCTCTTGCCGTATATCGATTTACCTCCCGTTCCATCATTATTAACAAAATCACCACCTTGACACATCTATTAAAAGAAATGTAGGTCTATAATTTTTTTAAAACATATGATCTCATATTTTTATCTAATTGTAAAAAAAATCCTTCACAGTGATTTCTAAATGTGATCATTCTACATGGTATATTGTTATTTTAGCTGAGTGCAAAAGAATGTGCATCAATCGTCAGTTAATTATTGAATATTAAAATAAATTAATATTATTAAATTCTTTAGCATAATATTGTAGTTGGTGGGTTGACAAAGATAATAATTATCTTCCACTATAGAACTCGGGCAAACATTTCTGATAAAAGACCAGATGGTGCCACTCTTACGCCTTGGTTCTTTAATATGAGATTATACATATCTAGATGCGTTTGCAAGCCATTGCGGCTGCCGAATCATCCAAACCCAATAAATATTCCCAATTAGTAAAAGTTTTTTTTTACCCTTCGTTTTTACCACATTAGGGAACTTTGGCGAAAAAGCTATCCAACTTAAGGTAAAAAGCTCACAACCACTGGAGATCCAAAAGAAAATTTATATCTTAGACAAAGAATATCTCTCGAGATATGTAGATCCAATCAATATATATTTTTAATCCCCCCTCCTTGTTTTTTAATATTCTAATTTATATAATTTATAATATATTTATATTTTTCCTATAATATAGGTTTTAAAGTATTTTTAAACTCTACAATCATTTGAAGAAGTTTAAACTAAAATTAAAATTTGTAAAAAAAATTATATCGTTTATAATAATTTTTTGATAGGGTAGATATAATAAAATATTTTTTAGATTTATTTACATTGATATTAATATATTTTTTATAAAAATGTTTTTTTTTAAATTTTATAATTAAAAATATAATATTTTTGACTTTATATTTTATTTAATGAGAACACTTTTTGATTTAATATGGTAAAAGTGTAGGTTTATTTTCATCATCACCTCTTGGAATATCGATAATTCGAGTTTTAAATTATTGAAAAGTCTATAGAATAATATGATAAAATATTCAGATATAATCAACTTAGTAAATTTAAATCTGCAAATTTATTTTCTTGCATATATGGTCCAGTAAAACATATTAATTACTTATTTATTTTTTCCCTGCTTTTTCTTACCGATATCTCTGAAATATGTATTCAATGCATTAAAATTAAGGTTCAAAATATTTTCTATTTTATTCTATTTAATATAATAAATTATTAGGACTGTGCCAATATTAAATATAGGATAGGATCGGTGCCGATACTTAACGTTTTCAAAAATATCGGGTCAGACCGATACCTGTAAAAACCCGATATGATCCTATCTTTTAACTTTTTTGTTATTTTATATTATATATATTTATATAGTTTATTTTACATTATTAGAATATTTCAAAAGATTTTTTATTTATTTTTATAAAAATTGAAAAAATCTAAATAATTTTTTATTTATTAAAACAATGGAAATGCACAACACCCCCTAAATTTTATTTATTTAAATTGAAAATCAAAGAGAAACTGGTAGTGTATAAAATAATTGAAATCGATAGATTGTAGATGACCTACCATATTTGAAAGAAATCAAGAAATATATTTAAAATAATCCTTATCTAGACGGTATAATAACATATTTTTCATATTTCATCTAGTATTGCTTGGTTCTGATTATTTTTCAAACACAATAAAAGGTTGGGTTTGTATAAAACCCACTATTTTAAAAATGCTAATTTTAGATAACTCTAATAAATTTATATTATATCCCCAGTGGATCCACTTAATTATTGGAGAATTAATGCTGAAAAGTATCCAACTTTGTCAAAACTTGTATGTAAATTTTTGGCGTATATAATCTGTATCTATCTTCAGTACGGCAGAAAATATTGATAGTCCACATCATAGAAGCTTATTGCCAGAAAATCTAGAGGCTCTCATACATATTTTAAAAAATCTAATAAATTATAATTTTATATATTAAATATTACAAATTTAATTCATACCAATATATATATATTATTTTAAATAAAATTGATACATTATTAAATGTATATTTTTTTATCTATTATAATATAATTTTTTTTTAAATTATAGTCTTCATTGTTGAAATAAAAATATTAAAATTAAATTAAATGCATTACATAGAAAATATAAATTTTTTAATTACATTTAGATCAAGGATGGGGGAAGGGGGGGGGGAAGGGGGGGGGGGTAAAAATCAATATAAATATTTCATGCAAGTTTCATATTTATATTTCATTTAAATTAATAATAATTATAATTATCTTTAACATAAATTAGCTGTAAATTATTATTTATTCATCTAAATAAAATGGAAAAAAATTTCTAATCTTAACTAAGATTTTTAAAAAAATTACTAATTCATTCTAGTGTGGTTTCACTACTGTTTAAATACTCCGATGGATTTATTTGGATTAATATTTTAGCCAAAATATAATTAAGCCTGGAGATTTGGCAAATAGAGACCCAAACCTTTTTGCCACCTATGAGCAGAGCAAAATCTTTAAACTTACGTAATATTATTTTGGGTAAAATCTTAAACAGGCCGTTTTTTTTAAATCGACCCAAATCCGGCCGTTTAAAAACACCAGGTTTCACAGTCTCCAATCGTCGTGAAATGCTTATCTCTTAATAACTACTCAACAAAAATACATGAAATTTGGAATATATTCCAAGATATTAATGAAGTTAATAAAGAAAAATCATAATACCATTTATGTAAGGTCAATTCAAGAATGTCTGGGGTCTATAGACCCCACCAGAGTAATGATGGGTTAATGCCCCTCTTAAATATTGAATATAGGCAATTATTGTTTTATAATATTGTATTTAATTAAACACTAATAAAAAATATTATTTTGAAAATATGTAATAAAATACAGTTTAATCTTATAAATTTATAAAAAATATCTTCAGTCCCTTGACCTTCATTAGGCACAACAAAAAAAGGTTTTAAAAGTGTAAACAGTAATATCTGTTGTTCAAACATAGTTCCATATTATTGAAATTGATTTTATATATTAAAATTCCAACCCCAACATCTGTCTAATTAATAAGCTTTCTAGATAATCAAAATTTAAGGCAAAAATACAAAATTTTGAGTTATTAATTTATGATATAAATTTATTTACAAAATCAGGTATGATTCTATGAAAGATGGATCCTTTATAACCAAATCCTCGTTCATGCTTGCAAAGTGCTAAGAAATTATCGACAGTCATTGGCACAACATCTTTCCTTAGAACTATTATCAACCTACCAACCATACGTGGCCCAACTTGGATATCCATAAATACCTTGGGATTGCTTTGGTCAACGCCTAAAGAGCTTTTATCAGGTTGGTCAGTGGTTGAAATCACTTGAATTAAAAAAAAAAAAATTTATAATTGTGGTTAATGAAACATCTAAAAAGCTTGCCCAATGATTAATGATTATTTTTCTATCCAAGTTCAACCAATATTAACTTATAAAAGAATGCAGGTTAAGTCAATATCAATGTTGTCATTATCAACAAAAGTTAGCATTAAATAATAATTTCATGACCTAAGATTGTTAACAGATTTATAATAATAAAATAGCAATAACTTTATACAATGTTAAATTTTAAATAATTTCAGGATTACAATTTGAAAGTGGATCTGTTGGAAGATTTGATTGATCTATATCTTTATTTAAAATATTTTCTTCTGATGTGTCTTGTGATTGTCTTTCTTTAAGCCATTCCTCATTGGTCCATATAGCACGATTGCCACTCGTTTTTGGAGGTTTTGCTAGATGAACTCTGAGTGTGCGACCAAGTATTTCAGACTCATTCTAAACATGATTTAGAAAATATTATAAAAATAAAAAGTAGCAATAAAAATAAAATATATTATATACTAATCAATATTTATATATTTCCATGACAAGTATTAAAATAATAAAATGTAGTAAATTACCATATTGTCAATTGCATCATGAGCATCCTATTTTCATAAATTTACAATATTTTATAAAATATTCATACCTCAGGGGATTCAAACTCGACAAATGCAAATCCACGATGCTTTTCTATCAAATTAAATGTAAATTTATTATAACATCAGAATATAAACGTGTGGCATAATCCAAAGGAACATTGATATCAATTATGTCGCCAAAAGGAATAAAAGCACCATACAACATTTTTTGGTTGACTTCTTCAGCAAGGCCACCTAATAATAATATTTAGATAAAATAAATAGAATTAAATATTACCAACATATAATGTCTTTTTTTGTTGAGCCATCAAAAAATTAATTAAACCATATGTTTTATTGGTTATTTGAATCCTGGCTAATATATTTGATTGATGTTTGATAAACTTTTGAAATTATTATGACATATCTATTTTTAATCTTTTGCCTGCATTCAAAAAATTGTAAGATTTATCGAAATATTAAAAAAAATTCAATTATTATTTTATCTTCTTTCTTATAATAATTTTTATACTTTGGATTTCTGGAGTTCGATAAGTTTTTTTGACTAAGAACAGCTTCTTGAATAAGGCTAGAGTAACATTAAAATGATACTCAACCATGTCCATTAATTGAGATAAGCCTAAAGTAGAGTAGCAAATATTTTTAATGTCATTATTTGACCCTTCTTTTAGGGTAAATGAGTGCTTTTTCTCTGTAACCAGGCATGTAACCAATGGGGGGAGAAGAAACTCCCTCACCCCCAATGCAAATTTGTCTGTTTACAAAGATATCATTTTAAGCTAATAAATTTTAACCTCCTTTAGTCAAAATTTTGCAATATCAATCAAAGTTTATCTTTACTGCTAGTTGCATTAAGAAATTATTTTCCTATAGCTCACTACTTTGAAAATTTACAAAAACCAAATGTACATTTGGTTCAGGTATGAACTGGTAAATACATTAAGAATGAATGTAGTGAATCGAGAACTAAATTTTATGATATAACACTAATTAACCTAGTCTAGCACCTAAGCAATTATTGAGATGTAATATAAATGTTGATTCAACTGAAGAATATTAAAATATTCATTTTCATACCATTCTTAGATACTTTTTTATCGCAAACAAAAGTAAAGTTTTTATATAAAAAAAACAAGTCTTTAGCGGTCAAATTTTATTACCTAAAGACCCTTCTTCGTTTTCTGACGACACTATTGGTAGAATTAAATATTTAACAAAATTTTATTCTTATGATATTGATTCTGAAATCAATTTAATCAGTGAATTTGAATCTTGGTATAAATACTTAGAAGCTCTGCAAATTCAATTTTTTCAGTCCAAATTTTATTTATTTTTTCTTCACGATTATTCTACTTAAGCATGCTATGATGCGCTCAATTGGTGTAAGGAAATCTTAGCTTAATTTCCAAATATTTTGAAGTTATTTAATATTCTTGCATGTTTGCCTATTACAACATATACGAATGAAAGAACCTTTTCCAAATTGAGTAAGTTGAAAACTTATTTGCGAATTACTACTTCGGAATCTCGGCTAAATGGGTTAGCTATTTTAGATATTCACAGAGATTTGGTTCCAACGACAAACGAAATTCTTGATGAACTCACAAATTTCCAACGAAAATTAAAAATCACATTATATTTATAGTATCTAAAAAATTTTTGTTAATATTGTATTTGATAAGAAGTAATAAAAACTTGTTTTATAAATTATTTTCTAGTTAATATTTTATACACACTACAATTGGTATGTATATAAAAAATTTTATTCTACTTATATTGTATGAGAATTTAAGCTGTACTAGCTTTTAAAGCAAATTTTATAAAAAAAATGACCTAAATTTTATTTCAATATATACATTTTTAAAAAAAATTTATTAAATATAATATAGCTAATTTAAAATAATAGAAAATTGTGTTATAACATTTATTTCTTCTTTAAATCCCCATAAGCGCGAATTAGTAAATAAAAGCTAAAAATATTAATATAATTATTATTGAATTATGAATAATTTAATAGAATAGCTCAAAGATATTACGCTGCCGAAGGCCGGCGAAAATCTGAAAGAAGGACATCGGAGGGTTTTAAAAAAAATTCCCCTCCCCCCCCCTATAGGAAAATCCTGGATACGCCACTGGAACCTATATTCTATCAATTCAATTAGAATATTAAGGTAGGCATACTAGATATATTTAAGACGGTGGCCGGTAATATAGCGGGAAGGGGGATTGAAAATAGGAAATAGTTTTATAAAATAGAAATTATTCAAAGAGCAGACTTTTGGGATATATTGTGAGTGAAATGGAAAAAAAATTTTTTTAATATATTATTAAAATTCAAATACAGTAGTGAGTACTTAGGTTAGATGTAAAATAAAAAATAATCTTAATCGTGAGTGAAAATGAAAGAAAAGAAAAATACATAATATTAAAAATTATAGGACTGTGAAATAAGTAGTGTTGTTAAACAGTCGTTTTGAGCATATTTTTAAAAACGGCTAATTCAATTTGCCTAAGCCTCGAGATTTCGATAATATATGTATAGACCTTTGTTTCTTTTATTAGCAAAATCTTCGGGCTTACGTAATATTTTTCTGGATGAAGCATTGAGTTATCCCTTTTTAAAAATCGGCTCAAAACGAGCCGTTTAACAACACTAGAAATAAGCAAAAAATTTTAAACAAAGGCCTATTATAGTAGGAAAGCAAAAAAATAGTTGATTATAAACAAAGGAATAAAAACCCCATGAAAAATATAATACTACCTATAATTTGACAAAATTTGTAAAAAAATATTCTTCTTTTTATCTTTTATTAATCTCTCTGTCAATGACACATATATATGGATCAAAACCAAATATATATACAAAATTATAAGTTTTACAAATAAAATAAATATCCTTAAATATAGCATTAAAGAAATTGTTAATAAAATAAAGAAATATATTTTTATTTTATTTTATTAAAGATAATAAAAAAAGAATATTAAATAAGAATAATTTTAAAATAAAATAAAATAAAATAAGTATGTAAAACTAAAATATAAAAAAACTAAATATAATTTTATCTTTGAAATTTCAGATGTATAAAAAATAACTAAAGTAAAAAAAATTTTATCTCTTGAATGTTCAGGTATATAAAAAATAACTAAAGTAAAAAAAAATCATATTTAACACTACCAAAATAGGGAATCCATTTGAAAATAAAATAAATATAGAATAAAATCTTAGAAATTAGGTTAAAATAAAATATTAGTTAAAATTACAAAATCCTGTTCTTAGAATTGCTTCTATTTTCAGTAATACAGTTGTTTACAAATGATATTTTTATCTTCAACTCTATTTAATAGAGGTGTTAAACGACTCGATTTAAACCGATTTTTAAAAAACCGTTAACTTAATATTTTAGATATAAAAATATTGCCTAGGCCTTTTAAAGGTTAAAAAACTATTACATTAAATAATAAAAATGGGGAAAAAAAATATTTAAGATTATAGTGAAAATATTTATCTATAAATTTATATTTAAAAAAATAACAACTAAAAATAACATCTAAAAAAACACTTAAATGCGGGATAATCTATTTGCCTACGCCTACCAGAAGAAATAATATTTTTTACCTTCATTATTTAGAAATCAGTAAAAATACGATTCCATCAAAGAAATATCAGCTTTTAGAAGTTAAAAAACTAATATATTAAACATAGAAAAATTAGTGTTCAAAAGTAACAGTAAAAAAAAAGTATATGAATTTTATGTATTATATATTATTTGTTCAAGGTCGACATAAATATTATTTAAAAAATTAACTAATACGGTAAGGTAAGGTAATATTTACCAGTTTATGGTATGAATAAAATGAAATGTTAACAATTTTAACAGATGCTATTTAGACTATCGTTTATATTTCCCCTCCAATCATATTTGCTTCTCATCTCTGGAAATGTGAGTGAATATTATAAAGACAATTTAAATATCCAAGACACTTTTCCTTGATAAAGAGGCAAAGAATTGAATAATCAATCAAAATTGTACAAACTAAAAGAGGTTCAAAATAAGTTTTAACATTTTTTAATTAAAAATAATTTAAGAACCATAATTTTACCTTAAATCAGCCCCTTTATCATATTGGAAAGCTAGCGAAGATTTAAAGATTCGCAAAGACATTTTATAATTATAACTAATGGGTGGAAAGATTAGAAAATTGTTTAGGGAATAAAAAGATCAGCGAATAATTGTTAAGGGTAATAATAAAAACATTAAAAAATTCTGAAGTCTGGGAGTGGTAATGTTACTATTCCAGGTTTTAAAAATGTTTTTAAAATTGATAATTAGGAAATATTAAATGAGCTGGATCGGACAACAATAGGAAATATATTTTACGTGGCACCCGATTAAAATATTTGGCCTCTAGTTTCCATATAATGCACGTTTTTATTTAAGACATATTTTAGAGGTCTCCCTAAATTATCGATTTCAGAAATAATAGATCCTTAGCTAAAAATTTATTGTACAATAGTAGATTATATAAGATTTTAAAGCAAATTAATGTCATTTTTAAAGTATTTGGTCACTTTATTTATGTTAACATAAAAATCAATCAAATTAGAGGGTCCTTTTGTTGGAGATTTTTTTGATAAAATGAAGTAAAATGTTCAAATGTGAGCAAAAATGGGATACAAATAGAAAAAAATAAGTATAATAAGGAATATGACCATGAAAGAATAAGGCCATAACATATCATATTATTGAAGGCATTTTAAAAAAAGAAAAGACAAATATAACTAGAGACCTCACAACCATTTCTAACACCATCTACTAATTGAGGTTGTAACGATTAGTATCAATATGAATTGTATTGACAATGTCCTTTATAGCGAACCAACTAAGGAAGGTCATATTACCACAGCTATAATCCTAATGCCATCTCCAGATTTATATTAGAAACAAGCCTACATATTCAATTGTATGAAATATAGAGAAATTGACGATACGATCAGGATATTATTTCTGAAACCGTTAAATGTAAGCAAATGATTAATAAAGCCGTTTTCGTGAAATATTATTAAATTAACAAAAATTACTAGATCTTAACCAGTAGGGAGTCGAAAAGGACATTTAAAATTTAAGAATTTAATCACATGTAAAGCTAATAGAGAAAGAGGAAATTAGAAGAGGAGGCTATATGTTGTTTTTCAAGAAACTGTTAAAAAAACAATTTGGCATTAATAAGAGAAATTATATCTCAGTCGTTAAAATATCGCACTAATAGAATCGAGGTCGTTATTTGTGATCAAATTATATGAAAAATGAGTCAGAACTTCTCAACACACTATATATATAATAGCTTTAAGTAAAAAATATTATTTTATTTTTTAGTTTAACTATAATTCAAATGCAAAAACTGTTTAAATTTAAGAATAGGGATTGGTCAAAAATTGTAATTAAAATTATATAGAAAGTATGATAAATGTTGCGATAGAATTTTGAGGTATTTAAGAATTCTGAGAGATGTCAGAAAAATAATTTCAACTTCTTATAAAACTATTATGTGAGGGAACCAAAGATCTAAGAGAACAGACTTGTATGGAAGAGATTATAAATTTTTCCAGAATTTGAGGTTGATGGTGTGCTGATTAATAAGAAATTTTTCAAATGAGAATGGGCCTCTAATTCTATAATTATTATTTAAATCCATAGTTTCTCTGTTCCTTTTCAAGAAAAATAATTAAGGTTCTACAAGTTTTAGTTCAGTTCCTGTTTCAATATCTAAGTTAAATTATAAATCCCATTCTTACTTTTTCTTATTGTATAAATTCTTTCTTATTAATTTTTAAATTGTTTTATTCATATCTAATGAAAATTGCTTTTTTAATGGAAAGAATAGGGTATACTTGTTTATTAATTTTTTGTGAAATTTTAGATTTAGTATACCAATATAAAAAAAATTCCCTTATTTTAACCCTATAGTAAGTATATAATGAATAATAAAAAACAAAAATAACTATGCTAAACTGGATTATAAATAACTCGAGAAAACCTTTTGTTCCAATCTTGGGCAGCTCCTTTCAGCTGAGCTGAAAATTTGAACTGTTCAAAATGTGGTCAATTTATACGACAGCATCTACTAGTGTTTAAGTAGTGGACATCAACCCTGCCACAAAGAAATAAAAACGATTTTACCTATCCTACAAAAGGCTAATATAATATATCTCAAACTATTAAACCAGAAGGTATTTTCGATTTTAAAAAATGAGTTGATATTGCCCTAATACCTATATCTAAATTTCTTTCTCTAGTCCAAGACTTTGCCCGTAAATATCTTAAGCCAAATCCACTAATTCTAACTTGGCTTTAATTCATATTAAAACTTCAAAAGATAGCTGATATTTGGTTTTCAAATGATCTTTAGCCCAATCTCCACCAAGTATATCGTAGCTGATGAGTCATACATCAAGTAATCGAAAAAAAATAATTTCAGATATCGGAGATCTAAATAATATGTTTACTTCTGCATAAAAATTTTATTTTATTGTTTTTTCAGACATTTATTTATTTAATATTTTAGTCCATTTTTTAAAGTTCTTTTCATACAACATATTCACCAAAGGTAATGTAATATAAATCGTTATATTGTATTTAAATTCAGGAGCTACCGATTCTTAAAATATTCAATGTTATTCCGACACTTTTACATTAATTAAAAAGAAAAAAATGCTTACAAAAATAATTTGGTCAAATTTTAAATTATATTTAAAAGATTTTGATAGACTTGGCTTAAATACTTGATAAATGGTCCAAAAAATAAATTTTGAATTATGTATTTGTATAGTAATATGTACTATTATTAAAAAAAAAATATTAAATAAATCATCTCATATAGACAACAGAAGATATATATCCGGGTTTTAAGCCTACAGGTAGATATTAATTATGGTATAACCGGATATATTTTTTAATTTTTAAGTTATCAAGCCAATCGAATATAAAATTAGAAAAATTACTATATATAGATAAAGAAAAATTAACTTTTTATTTATATCTCTTAATATTTCAATCATAATATTTTTTACAACATGAAATTCTGTTTAGTGCTCTTTTTAATATGCTTTGCATATAATCATCTTGTTTTATCACAAGATAATACCAAGGGACCTCAAGCAATCTCAAATTACGGCGGACCTCTAGGTTGCTGGCCCTGGATATATTACAGTTATATTATATTTTTATAACTTTGCAAAGATTGTTTGTTGTATCTATATTATATATAGTATATATTACAAAATTTTTACTTTAAATTTAAAATTAATAAAATAATATAATCGCATGCCTTTTATACCCTTTAAATGAAAAATTCATATTAGATTTATAATTTTATATTTTTATACAGATTATATTTATATATTTTTATAACAGAGTGTTTTGCAATCTATTGCCCTTACTATATGAGACATTACGATTTTTATTATCATTGCTGGAGATGTTACTATAAGCCATTTTAAAAAAAAATCAAATTTCAAATATTATATATATCAGAGACTTGTGAGCCTGGCCCTAAGCCAGGCACGGGATTTTAAAACTAAATATTTTAAATCCCCATTATTAACTATAAAAATTAATAATAAATATAATATATTTTAATAAAATCCGGGCCGGCCGAAGCTGAAAATATAAAATCAGGGCCGGGCCGATTTTTTTTAATCTGGGCCTGGCCGTGCAAATGGTACCTTTGCAGGTCTCTGATACATATATTCAACACAATATATGATATAATTAATTGTAAATTTTATTTTTTATATAACAGATAGTCCTTATGCCAAGTGAACTTACTTTATGCTTTTTAATATATGCGTTAGTTTTACAAAAATTTGTTTAATTCGATAATTTTTTCCAAAATATATAATTATTATTTTATTTTTTTATATCTAGAGCTGATAATGAGAATGTTGCTTTCAATGATACACCTGATGCCAAAATTGAATAATTTATTATTGAAATATTACAATTACATTGTATCATATTTTTCTGACTTTATTTTTAAATCATGTTTTTAAAAAAATAGGAGTTAATATATGACATTTATTATTTTTAAATTTACCAATGTTAAAATTTAAAAAAAAGGATAAGATTTTATTTTAAAAGCTATTTAATTATTAATTTTGATAATTAAGATTTAATAAGATGGAAATGTAATGAAATCAATACAACGTTCTGATATATTTTTTAAAATATTTTTGACAAATTTAAATTATATTTTATTTATATATGTTATAACCAATGCGATAAATTATCGGGAATTTTTTTCAGCACCTGAAAAGGTTAAATGTCAATCCAGTCCAGATTATATAACGTTTGTTTATAAATTCACCTATTTATTAAATTAATAAAAAATTACATTGTAAAGAATAAGTAAATTCTAAAAATATATATACGTTTATCTTACTCTTCAATTCTTATAATTTTCTGGGCACCTTTCATAAAATTGGAAATAACCGTCAATAAGAAAAATATATAAAATTTATAATATATATTTACAATAGATTTTGTCATAAATAAAAATAATAATAATATAAGGTTTTTTTTAACTCTATTTTTGAATATGCAAATTAAATTGAATATACGAATAGTTCAAATTTAATGCATTTAAGGACAATTGTCAAGGAATTCAGTTAAATGATGTCATAGAGAAGACTTAGGC